CAATGTTCCTCCATGCCCCCCTAGGGGCCTGTAAGCGGGGGGAGTGAGGAGGAACACCAAGTGCTCCGAGTATCCAGGTTACTCTCCCCACCTGGGCTGCTGCTCTCCTGTCCTCCCCTGACACAGCCCAGCTGGGGAAAGTGACCAGGATGCAGGGAGCCCTGACACTGCTCCTTGCTCCCCCCATCACAGCCCCCTGGAGGGGAGCGAGCAGCAAGGCCAGCTGCTCCGTGCATCCAGGTCAGTTTCCCCACATGGGTGCAGGAGGGGGATGCGGGGTACGGGGTGAAGGAGGGTGCAGGGATTAGGGGTCCAGGAGGGGAGTGTACGGGTTCAGGACAAAGGGGGCACAGTAGAGGAATTGGGGGCAGAGGTTAGGAGCGCACGAGGAGGGTGCTGGAGTTATGGGTAAAGTGGGCACAGTGCAGGGGTTAGGAGTGAAGGGGATGGGGAACCTGGGGAGCCCACAGGAGCCGGGGGCAATGGGGGGGGGTTCCACACCCGCAGGGGCCAGGGGTACCAAAATACAAATTTCTCAGGGCGCAATTTCCCCTAAGACTGGCCCTGAGGAGCTTGCTCTCCCTGCCCCAGCGGACTTCTGTGCCCCCACTGATTGGGGGGGCCTGTGACCCTGCTTCCCCCCACCCCGCACATGCCTCTCAATTAAAGATTATGTCATGTGATGAATACGTCCAACCAAAATTGGCAACCCTAGAATCTATCCCTTACTGTGGGGGAAAACCTTGGGGGAATGGTGGTGCTGCATTACAAAGCATGGCTCGGTTAAAGTCCCCTGAATGCAGGGCAATTCCAGGGCCCCTAGCCACACCGTGGCATGGTTCCCTCTGCAGCCTTGCCCCAGGGTGGCAGGGAACCCCCCCTTTTCTTGGGCAAGCCACGTCCCCTCCCTGTGCCTCAGTTTCCCCACCTGTACAATGGGTGTAATGCTACTGCCCTGCTTTGTAAAGAACTTCGGGCTCTACTGATGCAAAGCACTAGGTAGGAGCTAGATTTGTTGTTATCTGTCAGGAGCAGCAGCAGTGAGCTCCTCTGGGGAGCAGCAGGGAGCGCCTCTCCCCTACAGAAAAGCAGTACGGGGACAAGGATCCACACCCACACACATACATTCATATGCTCCTGAGATGTCTTTGCTTGGTGGTGGGGGGAGGCTGTGCTATTCCCTTCTTACCACAGACAGAATCCCCTGCTGGGCTGGGGTTGGTAGCTGGCCCCTCTCCCCGAGGACTGGGGCTGGGAGTTAACACCCCCATTGAGTTGCACAAGGTGGTTCCCTCCGCTCAGAGCTATTCTCTCAGGTTCTCTGAAAACTTGGGCAGACGTTGCTCCATTGGTTAAACTCAGGGCATCTCTTCCCCCCACCCCCAGAGCTATTGTCTCAGGCTCTCTACAGACTCAGACAGACGTCACTGCCGAAGTGACCACATTTTTGAGGTTTGCTCCCCAACCATGAGGACTAGGTTTTTTGCGGCCTCTAGTAGCTTATTCATTAATCACACCCTGCCCAGATACCACTAACTTTTCCCCTCCCCCACTTCCCCGCCAGCCTCCCACCTTCATCAACCACTCTGTCTGCCCAGAAGATGAAGGTGAGGAAGAATTTTAAGTGAAAGAAATCTACATAAGGACAAAAATCAGACTTCCTAAATTCTCCTCCCTGCCCCTTCCCAGTCCACTTCATTTCCAGAATTTTGTATATGGCATCTGGGGAATCCAAAGCACATGGCTTTGGGTTTGTATCTGTTTGTCTGTAGTGGGGACTGCACAACTCCGTATAAATTAGGTGTGTAAGCTATCTAATAGTGGATTCTTTGGTAGGTCTTTTAGGTACATCTACAGAGATTAAAAGATCTCTGGCACGGCTGCAGGTCAGCTGACTCAAGATCATGCGGCTCAGGCTTCAGGGCTGAAAATTGCTGTGTAGACATTTGGTTTTGGGCTGGTGCCCGAGCCAAACATCTACCCAGCAATTTTTCGTCCCCAGAGCATGAGCCCGGTGATCCGGACTCAGCTGACTTGGGGCACCCGTGGTTTTTTTTATCCCTGTGTAAACATACCCTGCTAGGGCTGGTTGGGGGAAAAAATAGTACGCATTTTTTTGGAAAAAAAACCCAACAACCAACCAACCAAAAGCTTTTGAATGAAAGGCTGGTCTCAGCACAGTTTATTATACTCA